GGGATCTCCAGGGAAACAACACAAAAGGTCAGATCCCTGCTGTGACTCTGTACCATGCCATCCTACCTGGCAGCCAGCTCACTACAGGCTGAAACTTTTTAAGCTGCAGGTGTCAGGTCCAGTGCCTCAACAACAATAAAATTAACTAAGATAGATTTTGGTACCAGGTAAGTGGGGTCATTGCTGGAATGCTACTTCCATGTGGCCTTTGGAAGTGGTTTATGGAAGGAATTTGGAAAGGTTTGGAGATGCCCATTGGAAAACTAGTCCCGGAATACTTTAAACCAAGTCTCATGGGAGCAAGGAAGACCAAAATGCTGATTAAAAAACAAAGAAGTAGGGGCCGGGGAGATGGCTCAGTGGAATAAGCGCTTCCCTGGCAAGCGCAAGGGCCTGAGTTCAATCCCTGGTTCCGCAAAAAAAAAAAAAAAAAAAAAAAAAAAAAAAAAAAAAACAAAAACAAAAAAAACAAAGAAGTAGAAGGTTAAGATGAGGCTTAGGTTTCCTTTGGCAAGAAGCCTCCAGGGCATCTAGCTTAAGATCACATGTGTGTTATGTTACGTCAGAAAATCTGTCACTTTATTCATGTCCTGAGACTCTGGGAGAGGCTGAGATTAAGGGCAGTAGACTAATCTGGCTGAGAAAATTTCAAGGTATCCCAACATCCAGGCCGTGCATGGGCACCACTGGGGGCTTTCTGTAAGCTCTACACTGAGACCCAAGGGCAAATGGCACAGCTGGGTGGCTCTTAAAGTTCTGAGTTGCACCAGGAAGGAAACTCCTGTGGAGTTGGGACCTGTAAAGTTGAAGCAGAAGAGTACTTATTTGCTGAAAAGATCAGTATTAAAAAGAAAACCAGCACTGTATATGCAAACAATACAAAATATGCCTTGAAGCCAGAGGAGGAAAGACTCCACCTTTCACAGACTCCAGGGTAGAACAGCTAGAGACTTCACTTTGAGAAGAGACCTTCAGGGCTTCCTGCTCCAGAAAGGCCACCTAGGAAATTGGCTTCCTAGGATTCCATTCAAAGTGCTCAGCCACCCAGTCACTCAGAGGCCCCTGGGGTCATGATCCAAAGGGGCCTGGCTACTGCTGGAACCAGCACAGACCTTGGTCATTCACGGAGGGCTAGCTTTACACACATGCAGAATATAAGAATTATGGGGTCATGGAGCTGTGAGTGAAGTAAAAAATGCAGTGGAGACTCCAGGAAGTTGGAGAGGCCAGGAATGCAGCATTTTTGAAGAAAGCCATAAGGAGTGGGCAAAGCCAGCCTAGGAGAGAAAAGCGTCACAACCTCTGGCAAAGCTGTGGAGGCAGGGCTGCCCAGGCCCTCCGGAGTTTGTATCTTTTCGTAACTTGCTTTGGGTGCTGGACACAGAACTACAAAATTTAATGTGTGCCTCCTGGTTTTGGACTTGCTTTGGTCCCCTTAGTCTCTGTCTTCCTTCTCCTCCCTTTTCTAATCGGAATGTTTACACTACGCTGTTATATTTTGGTAGTGTTTTAACTTTCTGTTTGTGATTTTTGTTTTTGTTTTGTTTGGGGACAGGATCACAGCAATGGAGGCCACTATAAACTGAGCTATATAGTACAGGCGGGCCTTGAATTCAAACTTACCTCTGCCTCAGCCTCTCAAGTGCTGGGATTATAGGAATGCACCACCACACTGGGGCTTCCTTTTCTATTTTTACAGGGACTCACAGCTAAGAGCTTGCCTTGAGTCTCAGAGGAGTCTGAGTTGGGACATTTCAGCATTGCTAAGACTGCTAAAACCTGGGCTACTCTTAGGGATGGACGAAATGCAGTTTTCACTAAAGACGCTCGCGGGTCTTTTGGGGGTGGGATGTTACGGTTTATATCTAGATGTCCCTCATAAGTTTCATGGGCTCAAAGGGCTTTTGAACAGTGACTGGATTGTAGGGGCACTGTGCTTGACTTGGTATTAGGCAGAGGCAGTTCGTACCAGGCAAGACCAGGAAGTTATCCCCCCACGCCCCAGATTCTCCGTTGCCTCTCTCTGCTTCTTGCACACCATAACATGAGCCACTTCTCCTCTGCCTTCCCCCAAGCCATGCTCTGGTACCTTGGAGTCAGCCACCTATGAATTGAAACATGAGCCCAAATAAATTAGCCCTTAAAGTCATAGGTAGCAGGCGTCGTGCCTCAGCTACAAGAGAAACCGAGACACCCACCCTTGACCTTCTCCCTCTCCAGCATGTGTGTGTCCCACATTTCTAAACTCTGGGCAAGAAGACCCCAAGACAAATGCCATGGCCCCCTTCTCACAAGATCAGGGACGGCGTCTGAGCTCCCTGAGAGTAAGAGGACCTCTGACCTAACACACTGTACTCATCCTCACCCCCTTCAGAGGAGGCCACACTGCCAAGTCCCTCCAATGTGACAGGGTCAGCTGAGTGGGCCTGCACGCCTTCTGAGGGTGCAGGAGAGAAACACAAAACCCTCCCCTGGTTTCTCGAACAAGAGTACCTCTGAGCTGCAGATGCCCACTCGCAGGGCCCACCACGCATCCCAGTATGACCAGCTTTTGTTCTCCCGTGACACTGTCCTCTTCCTCTAGGTTGGTGTGCTTGAGACCTGACCCAAACTCCCAGCCCACTGGATAGCATCAAATATAAGCAAGGGGCAGGACCAACACCACACTCTGTGATGCTGTTGCCTCACAACCAGGAGGGGTGGAAGCCACCTGGAGACAGTGCCACGCAGGGCGCAGCCTGAGCACAAGGAGCCAGACGCACACACGCTAATCCATACCCCTCCTGCCAGCCTCGCTTTCTTTACATGGGGGTTTGGCCTACAGCGCTCCGATCCCTTTTAACCTCGAATTCTGAGCAGTGACATCACAGAATGTCCAACGGCTCTGGCAAGTCCTGGCTCTGCCACTTCCGTGAGACCTCGCAGGAGCAGGCCTCTAATGACCTAACATCTCAACTTGGGAGGAAGAGGGCTGACTCGGGGGCCTTGGCAGGCCTCAGCAAAGACACATCTCTCTCAGCGGGAGGCCTTAGGGGGCTCAAGGGGCTGCTGTTGCTGCTTCCCTCATGCTCCCAAACGCAGTAAGTCTAGGACTGCCCATCTGCACCGCCCTTGCACCCGGCCTTCACTCTGCAGGGAGAGGCCCAACACCCCCTGGCCCAGGGAAGCCCACACCATGCACATGCTGGGGGCCTCATCCCCGGTTTCAACACAGTCAGCTGCGCCTTGGCATGCCAAGCAGCAGGGCATCACTGAGACAGGGTGGGGAGGCAGGCAAGGAGTTGCGTGCAGTCACCAAGGGATGGGAGCCAGCACTTCTGGAGACCAAGCAGCCCGTGCCGGCTGTGCCGGAGCCTTACCTCCCCTGCAGGACCTCTGAGCACCAGGACCGTGTTCCCCCAAGAGGCTGTAGGCATGCTGGAAGGAGTAGAGGCAGGAGACAGGAAGCAGTATGTACTGAGCCAGGCTGAGAGACTGAAAAGGACACTCGTAGAAGGAGATGCTTGGATCAGGGTGTCACCACAGAGACCCAGAAGACCCAAGTGGCAAAGGAAGATCACCCCAAAGCTGGCCTGCACACAGGCACAGAGAAAAGAGGGGGTTGAGCGAGCAAAGGTGGGGAGATGAGCCAGAAGATCCCAACAGAGTGGGCATCCCAGATGGGCACGGCCCTCCTGCAGACTGGAGCAGCTTGCCCCGTGCAACTCCCGGGACGGCGTGAACTGTGTAAGGTGGAAGACCCAGGAATCTAGCTCACCCCTCAGGAAAGCCCCTCCAGTCAGTGCCAGGGAAGGTGGGGGGGCTGGACGTCCAAAGACGTCCCTGTCACTATTATTGGGGCCCCGGTGACAGAGAAGATATTTGTGTGCGCTGGGGCCTGGAGTGGACAGCACCAAGGAGGGAGTTCTAGTCCTGGCTCCAGCGTGAATCAGGAAAGCTTGGGTGAGGCTACAGATCCTCTCTGGGCCTCAGTTTCCCCATGTGTAGAAAATGTCCCTCTCAACAACAGCAAGGAGATAGCACATACTCCTATCAGTGCCAGGCAGCAAATGCCACTGGGCCACAGGGAGGCATTTCTACACTTTCCCAGGGGATTAGTTTATGCTGGAAAAGATCAAATATCCAACATAGCCAGCACAGCATGGGAGAGGGCGCCCACGACCTCGCTGCTGAGGCCCTCCAGGCGCACAGCCCAAAAGCACAAAGTCTGGGACGCGCACTGGGGGCCGGCTCAGTGGCACTGTTTCCATGAACATTCCCTTCCATGGCCTCCCTCATGAAATGCCCGTGTCCTGAAGCTCCTCACGGGGTGCCCTTCACCCCAGGAATGCTATGAGCTCCTCAGGCCAGGAGCTGATTGCTGCTGGACACTGGGAGCCCCTCCCTGGTAAGGCCCAATGCCGGCACAGCACCGAGCACTGACACAGCTAGCGGGCAGGCTGAAGTGGGGGCGGGACGCTGTTTAAGTCTCTCTTTTTTTATTTTTTTAAAGATTTTTTTTTCTTTTTTTTAAATTTTTATGTATTGGGGGGGCAGCTCAGCCCACCAGGGGGCGGGGCTGGCTGGCATGTGGTGCTGGGGGATTGAACTGCGGTCCCTGTGCTTTGCTAAGCTTGTTCTAAGTAGGTGCTTTAGACCACTGAACCATCTCACCAGCCCTAAGTCTCTCTTAACCTGGTCACACAACTCAGCTGACTCCTCCTGGTCATGGGAACCCTGGGAGGCTGAGCTGCAGAAGAGGCCTGTTCCAGGGCCCACAGCTGGGCTGAGGGCCACGGACAGAAGCAGGGAGGAGGATCTGAGAGCCTCTGAGACCATCCAGTCCTGCTGCCCCCAACACTGGTGTCTGGACCCAGCCAAGGCGAGGGAGGATGCTGCCCTGCAGGCCTGCCCCCAACACGGCCTCCCGTCCTCCCAGCTGCCACCCACTCCCAGGTCGTAGGGGCTGAAAAGGAAACAGCCGGCCACGTGAGGGGAGACCAAGCCGGAGTCACAGCTACCTTTGATGACCAGAGCCTCTGACAGCAGCCGCATCTGATACAGGGGCTTGTTCTCCACAGACAGGTCATCGATGCCAGCACGTGCATACATGCTGATGGCGTCTCGGTAGGAGCCCTCCACATAGTGCAGCTTGCCCAGGATCAGCATGGCCTCACACATGTACTGTGGCTAAAAGGACAGAGGCCAGTCAGCAGGCTCCACCCCAAAGCCTCCACCCCACCTTGATCCAGTAATCTGGGACAAGAGCCAGCTAAGCCAACAGCAGTGACTTGTCTAAGACCCCACTCAGAACCGCCCCCTCCTCCAGAAGCCTCCCTGAGGCCCCCACCGCCCTCCCTCCACACCTGTGCTCCGTGGCCACACATGACGCTTAGAGAAATGCTTCTGTGTCCCCAGAATCCAGGCAGCCCTGTTTCTCCCTTCTGAGAGCCCAAAGACTTCAGCCCAGGCGGGCCCTCACTCTGAACATGAGTGGGGTCCTGGGAGTGAGCCAAGAGTCACAGGAGTTGTGTGTATACACATGCATGTACAGTACAGGAACAAGTACGTGATAGGGTGACAGACCCCAGAAGGAGCCAGCAAGGACCAAGGACCCTGAGGTTGCAGCACCTTGCAGGGAGGCATAGCCACATCACCAGCATGGGGCAGAAGACCGGAGCAGGGCGCCTGCTGCACCACAGTCCTCATCAGAAGTGGGGGAAAGCGCAAAGCCTACCTAGCAGGCCAAAAGCGCTGCGTTTACCCCACTTTCCTTCCCCTGCTTCATCAAGGTCACTTGTGCCTCCCCCAGCCTCAGGACTCTTGGGGCCTCCCTAGGGCCTCCAGCAATCTGGGCTGGCACAGCCACCCCACTAGCAGCTAGGGCTGAAGGCAGCTGAGCTAGCCCTGAGCTGGCCCAGTCTGCATTTCTGTCCTCCCATGGGGGCCCTGCCCACTCATGGGTCCCTGCCTCTTCCAGCCCTGACCTCCACCCCTGGCTCCACCAGCCCACAGGCCCCTGCCCCACCACAGTGGCACCAGTCTGTCCCTAAAGCTCTTTGGGCTTGTTGCAGTGGGCCCTACCACAGCCTCTGTTACCCTCCTGTGAGGTGAGAATGAGGGGAGCCCTGGTCCCTGCCATCTGCTGCCTTCTGAGACCGCAACGAAGCCAGCCCATGGCAGCCAAGTTTTTCTTCCCGGCGATCTCTGTGTCTTGTCCACACTCATTCCTCTGCTCCCAGGCTCACGAGGCCCTTCTCAGCCTGCATCGTGCTCTCCATCCTTAGGGCCCGGCTTAGGCCCACCCCTTCCAGGAAGCCCCCAAAGAGCCAGGGAGCTTCTCTAGCTGAATTCTGACACAGGGTGGTCCCTCCTGGCATCAGCATGCTGGCCTGCTCTCACTCTCTACTGGTAACTCTCAAAGGCCAGATTCCTCAAGGGTATGTGCTAGCTTTCCCCTAAAAGGCCACCCACTTCCTGGGCCAAGGCCACGGATGACATAACCCCGCGGGATGCAGCCCACACGCTTCCAGGCCAGCAGTGACTGCCATTCTGCACACTGGTCTCACGCCAGGGCTCGCCTCCTTCTCGGCCTTATTTTCCTCCTCGGTGAGGGAGAAACGCCCCTTGCCTCCCATCACAGACACGCTAAGAACATGAACAAGGCAAAGTCTCGAGAAAGGGGCTGGCAAGTACACACCGGGGGTAACCACGCTGACTGTCCACTGCACTGTGCACAGGGGAGGGTGGAGAGGCGCCGAAGGACAGGTGAAGGCACGAGGACAGGGCACGGCTAGTGCAGGCCCTTGGGGGGCCCATGACCACCGCATCGAACTTCCACTCGGATGATATGAACAATGCCCTGAATGCTTCACAAAGCTAAATCTATAATATTTGAAAAGCTGCTGTTAGTCCTGAAAGTATAACTATCATGCCTTTTGATGTTTAGGTGTGTTTTTCTTTACTGGAACAACACTAATGGTATAGGTTTGCTGCTCATATTCACTGTCCTGGCCTGGGAAGAACAACCTCTGGGTGTGCAGGAAAAGAGAACAGAAGACAGGCTTCAGCTAACGGGAGACCTATAGAAGCAGAAGTGCCACCATCATCCTTAATCCAGGTTGTCCATATTTTACTTTATTTATTTTGGCCAGCTCAGCCCACCCTGGGGGCAGGGCTGGCACAGCATGTGGTGCCAGGGATCGAACCTTGGTCCCCTATGTCTGCCTAAGCTTGCCTAAGCAGACGCTTTAGATCAATGAGCTATCTCACCAGCCCTGTCTGTATTTTATGTCTATTCCAGAACTTCCCAGGCAACGCCAGGGAAGCGCAACAGAGGAATGAGCATGGACAAGACCCGGAGATCCCCGGGAAGGAAACCTTGGCTGCCCTGGGCTGACTTTGCTGGGGTCTCAGAAGACAGCAGGTGACAGGGAGGTGCGGAACCGGCGCCTAGGACCAGGGCTCCCTCTCATTCTCACCTCCTCACAGGAGCATGACAGAGGCTGGGGTAGGGCCCACTACTGCAGGCTCAAAGAGCTTCGTGGACAGATTGGTGCCACTGTGGTGGCGCAGGGGCCTGTGGACTGGTGGAGCCAGGGGTGGAGGTCAGGGCCTGAAGAGGCGGAGATCCCTGAGTAGGACAGGGCCCCCAAGGACAGCAGACAGCCTTAGAGCTTGGGCGGTAGATACGAATGCGCCTGGGTGCAAGAGCTAATGCATCTGCCAGCGTGATCCCTGGCAAAAGGATTGCCTGTGTGGTCTCAGGGATAGGGCTGAAGGAAATACCTGTAGCAAATGGCCAGGGAGGCTTGACGGGCTGCCACAATGCCTGGAGCTCAGTGGACCACAGAAGCTGCACAGGGGCTGCTGTCACGAAGCCCCAGGGATTTTAAAGGCTTCCCAGAGTTAAGAGTTTCAAGCCCACCCAAGAAGGTGCCTGAGGATTGATCATCTCTCTGTCCCTTCTCCTCTTTCTTCATGAGAACTACCTGGCATGCAGTGAAATGTACCCAGGACTGTCCCTGCTGCCAGGAGGGAACATCCCAGGGACACCCTGGCTGTGGAGGTAAGACAGAGAGCCCCATACACTGCTCTGAATATTTTATCTTGCTTTGGCCTAGATAGCAGTGAATTTCTCCATGCTCCTGGTTACATGTACATCTTCAAGAGTAAAATCTATATTTAATAAATGATATTTGGAGGCTGGATGCGGTGGCATACACCTGTAATCCCATACTTGGGAGGCTGGGGCAGAAGGATCATGAGTTTGAAGTCAACCTGGGCTACACAGTGAGAGCCAAAAAAAAAAGAAGAAGAAGAAAAGAAAAACAAGTAAGGGCTGGGGATACATACAGCTCAGTGACATAAGCACCTGTTTGGCAAGCGCAATGTCCTGAGTTTGATACCAGGTACAGCAAAAAAAAAACCCAAATAAATAAATGCTCTACAGTGGGTGACATGGCTTGCACAATCCACCTAGGTATTATTCTGTCAATAAAAATGAGGCTCACACACAGCAAAAGGTCCAACTGAAACTTAGCAAAAAAAAAAAAAAAAAAAAAGAGCAATTTGTCAAACATACATGCTACCGCTCTGCAGAATACTCCGTGTGCACACACGTGGCAGGGCAAGCGACAAGGGGGTGAGGCGCACTCAAAGGCCTGCGTCCGTCAAATTGCTTGTTGACCGCTTGCATTTTTACAGTAGGCCTGAATTATTTATTTAAAAAAAAATAGTTGATGGAGGGCCGGGAAGATGGCTCCGTGGAATAAGCACTTCCCTGGCAAGCACAAGGACCTGAGTTCAATCCCTGGTTCCACCAAAAAAAAAAAAAAAAAAAAGTTGATGTAATCTACTAGAAAGAAACACAGGTTTTGATGGGGAAAGCTTAGAACCCACTCATCAAGCCTAAGCTTTCTGGCAAGAAGATGGGGAACGGGAGGGCCCAGCCAGGTCAGGGGTTAAGCTCAGAGTCAAGAATCCACTTTAACCCAGCGGGACCCTCACACTGTTGGTTTGATCCATGGCAAAGAGCTAGAAGCAAAAATCTTGACCTTCCTGAACACCCTCCCCCCTCCTGCCCTCTACTGCTTACAAATTAAGCCCCACATTCTTGGTCACTGTCCAAGTTCCTGCTTTCTGGTCCTTGTGTACCCTTAGAACCTAGCTGCACACCACGTCCATTTACTGCTGCTGAGCTAACCAGCTGCCACAGATTACTTCTAAGGACCTTCAGTCCCATGCTCTCTTCTGGGCCTGAGCTGCCCAGCCCTCTCGGAGTGTCCGTAACCTACCCCTCCTCCTGGATCAGGCCCGTATCACTATCACCCAAGTCTGTTCTCTACCTCCTCTCAGGGCAGCAGCTCCTGGGCTCCCACATACACCACTCCCACACCATCTGTTACAGTCCCCTGGGGACAAAGGCTAGTCATCTACTTCTAAGATTTATCTTCTTAATAGATCCGCAACCTCCTGAGGGCAAGGTCCACACTAGAGTCATCTTGGTTGCTCTCAGTGTACAGAACATAATGCCCGCCACGTAGCAGGTCTCAAGAAAATGCTTCAGGAGGGAAGCCTATTACTTTGGAACAGCTCTGCAAAAACCACTTTCTATTTCCATCTACAATGACATACTCACACCCCTTGATAGCTCAGCACACACTCTGATCTAGGATGGTCTTACACTTCAGTGCACACGTGAATAACTGGAAAATCTTGTTAAAATACAGATTCGGATTCACATGTTGCACTGCTAACGTGCTCCCCAGGGGGGCCCAGACGGCACTGTGGGCAGCACAGGTCTGGAGACGCTGAGCGTCCTCCTCTCAGCCTCCCCGGGCCCTGCACTCAGCAGGTACTCAATAAATGCACACCACAGGCGCGCTGCACCTCAGAGCTCTTCTGGGGCTGGCCAGCTCCCTGCATGCCTGCTCCAGACTAAGCTCGCGGAGCCTTCCTTCCTGAAAACAGCCAACGAGCCCAAGAAGCCAGGCACACCTCAGGGCAGCCACGCACCATCCAACAGATACATAACAAGCCACAAGCGTAAGCTATCTGCACAGTTTTTAAAATTCTAATAAAATTTTTATTGAAACATACTAAAGAAGTTAAATTATGGGATTAATTTCAATAACATTTTAATACAATATATTCAAATGATTATCACTTGAACATGTAATCAATAGAAAAAGTTAGCACTCCCTGTTTTGTTTTGCAGTACTGGAGCTTGACAGTACTACAGGGTGTCATGTCACAGGGTGACACAGGGTGTCACTGAGTGACTAACTTACCCGGGTGGGCTAGAACTTTTGATCCTCCTGCTGCAGCCTAAAAGTGACAGGTAAGGTAGTGCTCTTTTGTATGCTTTGTTTTGTACCAACTTCCTGTTCACCCGTGGCCCTTCTCCATGTACACCAGAAAGAGAGAAAGAGCCCCACTCAGCCACGCCTAGCATACGGAGCAAAGCCAGGCCACTCTTACGACAGACTTGTTCTGTTGCGTTTTTTTGTTTTGTTTTTTTTTT